GGGAGGGGAGGGGAAGAATAGCCCTGGGCTGGGCAGGGCAGGGCGGAAGGGCCCTGGCCTTGTCGGGTGGAAGGTGAAGAGTTAATGGCTCCGCGCTCAGGCACTGCCCTCTGAACTGGAACAAAAAGCAACTTCCGGTTGGAGTCACTCGGCCAGGCGCCGGCGACCTGATGGGAGAGGGAAGCGTAGCCGAAACCGTGAACTGTGTGAGTAAGAAACTTTGTGAAATGGTGTGTCCGAATCCATCAAGCACCGCGTCGGAGAATTTGTCTGCGTAAGCGAGAGGGACGCGCTGACAGTAGGGGCGCCGCAGGGAGAGAAGCGGAGGAGCAGCAGAGACAAAACAATTTGCAGTTTGGGGAGGGATTTTTTGCGGGAGAAACCACGCGAGTTCTTCCCCCGGAGCGGACTCCTTGGCGGGGGGTTTCCGGGCCCGCGATGTCAGCATAGCGTCGTCGGCCCCTGCCCCAGCGGCTTCAGGGGAAGGACTCGTCCCGGCTGCTTTGCCCGGGACATGGGGGTGGCAGGGCCTGCGGTGTCGAGGTGAGCTGTGGACCCGCCAGGAACATCCCTGACTTCCCTTCGAGAGAGGGACTGCCTCCTAGAATCAAGTAGTATTCTTTCGAAAACTTAATTGGTTCTTTCTGTTGTTTTCCCAAGGTGGTTGCACAATTCCCCTTTGCCTTCCTGTGGGGTGTCATCATAGCCTGGTCAATGAGAAGTTGGGTAACTTCCCAGAGGGTCACGGAGGGAATGGGTGGTCAAGGCAAGAAGAAGAGAAGCCAACTTCGCCCACAGTGGGAACCCAGGCATTAGGTAGAGTCCCCACGCCGGTATAAACTGACTAGCAACGAGTTACAGGCAAAAAAGCTGTGCTTGTCAAGAAGTAGAAAGAGGGGGAGGATAATCAGAGAAGAGCTGTGCTTTTATTATGCTATAACGAGCAAAAGTAAAGCAGCCTTGCTATGTAAAGTGGTGTTTATCTCACCTCACAGGACATGCTTTTGACAAGTTATAATAAGGGAGAGATGGTAGTAAAGGAAGTGAAGAAGCCACGTGAAATTGAAGGAAAAGGAAATGACCTGCCTCCTTACCGCGGTTGGAATACACAAACGAGAGGTAGCAGAGAAGCAAGCAGTGTATTATGTTAAAAATTATTGTGTCCTCATTTGAGAGAAGAGGGATCCTCAAATAATACAACTTTGTGTAAAGCAGGAAGTGAAACCCTTCTCAGTCCTCTCCCCAATTGCAATCCAAGCCTTCCACATCTTTCCTGTATGTGCATAATCATGTTATTTTGCTTTCTTATGAAAATGAGATTATGCATACTGTTCTATAATCTGTTTCAGATTAAAAATATATATATATGGTGAAAGTCTTGCCATATGTAGCTCTATTTTATTGTAATGTTGGCGTGGTATTGCATTGTGTAGATGTACCAAATTATAATTAACTATCACTTACTATGTCCTGTCCGTATATCTTGCCCAATATTCTTCAAAATTTTCTATTTATCATTAGAATACAGATTTCATTAATTCTTTGTGAAATATATGGCAAATATTTTCAAGAATTATCAATGCTTTGGTTTAAAATGCGCAGGCTTTTTGTCTCAAGTGAGAAGGTAGTCCCCAGTCAAAAATTCTTAAAATCTTCTCCTATATTGCCTGTTAATTCTCTTTTTATGATTTACTCATTAAAACATCCGAAAATGATTTTTGTATACTAAGATAAGGATTTTTTTTTCTTTGTTTTTGTGACTGGGCAGCTATTTTTCCTGAAATCATTTGTTGAAATCATTTCTCTCCCGACTGACTAGAAATACCTCCTTAATACAGTAAATTCTTATGTGTGCATGCATCTTTTCTTTAGACTCATCTGTTGCTTTGATCTTTTTGTCTCTTCCTTTAAAAATACCAATCTGCTTTGATATTACATTTTCTAGTAATTCATAGGACAGGTCCCTCTTCATTTTTCCTTTTCAAAATTTTCTTGAATGTAATTGCATTATCTTTGAGATAAAATTTAACATAAACTGTTCATCCTTCATTAAAATACTCTGTTGGGGATTTAACCATTTTCTTATATTTTGTGACTGGTATGTAGATGAGTGTTTATGTATCTGGCCAACTTTCTAAATTTATTAGTTTTAATAAATTGTTTCACTTGAATTTTCTAGGAAAACAATCATCTAATTATAATTATCTTATATCTTTCTTTCTTTGCTTTAGTGAATTGCTGGCTTCCCCAGAATAGTGGTAAATAATAACAGTGGTTCTGACCATCCTTTATCTTCTTAGTTTGGGGATTTTTTACTATGTCATCATTAAATATGAAGTTACTATTAATTTCTAATAAATTCTATTAGGGAAGTTTCCTTTAATATTTCTAGCTCATGATTTTTACAGAGAAGTGTTTGGATTGTATCCAAAGTCATTTTTGCAACTGGGGATTGGGGAGTGTCTATTGTATTAGGTAGCACTTTGAGAACAATTTTAAATAATAGATATTGGGTGTTCATTTGGTGTGTATATATATTTCTTGTTGTGTTAAGATAATGTCTCTTCATTACTTCTTAACATTTTTATCAGGAATGGAAGTTGGATTTTGTCAAATGACTTTTTGACATCCATCATAACCTTTTATAAGTACTTTTCATCTTTGACCTAATAGGATAGTGAATTATTTTAGTATATTTCCGGTTTGTGAACCAATCTTACACATGGTCATGGTATAATATTTAAGTATATATTGGTTCCTTTGGTAACATTTTTATTTAAAATCAATAATTGAGATTCATTTCATAGTCACCTTTTTCTGTTACTTTTACTAGGTTTTGATACCAAGGTTGTGCTGGTTCCTAAAAAGAACTGGGCAGAGTTCCTCTTCCTCTGCTCTGATGTAGTTTAAATAGCCTAAGAACTCTGTTCTTGGAAGATCTGAAAGAATTCACTCATGAAACCATCTGGGTCTGATACTGTTCTTAAGACAGCAACAATCCTCAGCAAAATGGTTCAGAACAAACAAAAACTCCTTTGTGTAAATACAATTGAATGAAAGAGTCTGGGACACCAGTAATGTCAAGAACTAAGAGCACCTGCTGTACTGATGCTGGTTATTTCCCCCCTACACACAACTTTTTTTTCATGGGCAAGGAAAAATGCTGTAGGTAGGCTGAGGCTGTTAAGTAAAATGTCTTGCTGTTCTTTCTCTTCCCTTCTCCAGTTACGTTACAGAAGCAAGGGTATTGCTTCTACATGGGCAAGTTTTGTCTATGCCCTGAAAGAAACCAAGAGTGAAACTCAACTGGTGAAGTATCAGTTTCACTTTGTTGTCATTAGTTTCCCAATTTTGCCGGGAAATTTCTTACTTTAAAGGTAATAACCAAGCTGACATTTTACTGTAGCCAAATCCTACAGAGGGTTTCAAAATGAGTGGGTGAAAAAATATACAAGCTTAACATGCTTATACTTATTTAACATGAAGTGAAAAACATTAGCACGGTTCAGGTATGTGCATGGTATGTGCCCGCACATGGAGCAGTGCTGTCATCTAACAAAAGCCCACCTTTTTACTTGACTAATGGTTTACTGTTAATACATAGATAATAGTGTAAGTAATCTTTGATAGACTTTTATAAATGATTATTGCAAATGCTTTTTGCTCACCTTCGAGAATATGACCTGAGACAGGTAATGTAATTTAGCAGTTTGCATCTGTGAACTGTGGAGGATACCTACAGACACTCAAGTGTTATTTACAGTAGGATGGAGGCATTATGTGAATGCTTGGGTATTATATTTCCATTTATGGGCTCTTATAGCAAAAATAATTGGGGACTTGCCCTATGATGAAGAAAGACTGCATGTTTTTTAAAACCATACCCGTTGTCCAAAAGCAAATGTTAAATAAAAATAGCCTGTTGACATAAAGCTTTGCTATTTCGATGCTATGCATTAGCTGATTGACTGTTACTATTTATCCTTTTTGTTTTCTAACACCTTATAAGCATAAAATATTACTGTTTAATTGAAGTTCGTTTGTGTTCAGTTATGTAAAGCCTAGTTTTAGTTTCTATTTCCTGTAGGATTTATGCTGTGGCTGCCATTTCCCACCTGCTATCTCCTATGCTTGCTGCCATGGTTTTGAATCATAAATACAGGGAAAGAGGAGGCTATTATTTAGATACGTAACAAAAATATCTTTATAGTTCAGAACCAAGATTATGTTTACCTTCAGGAAGGGATAACAGAATATGAAATGAACTACCTTTTCAGTGAGTGGTTAATTAATTTTCGAAGTCTTTTGAACTAAGTGCAGTATTTGGCCACTGTTCAAATAAGTTGAGGGTTAACTGGTACCAAGCCCTCTGCAACTGAAAACAGCCTTTGAGACCTATGTAGTACATGTGTCACATTTTCCAATTCCTAATCCGTAAAAGCTTTTTAAATTGTGGTAAAATTCACACAACATAAAATTTACCATCTTAACCTTTTTAAAGTATATGGTTCAATAATGTTAAGTGCATTCACATTGCTGTGCAACCAAGAAAAACATTTTTAAAGGGACTTATTTTTCTTAAGGAAAAGAGTTTGGGAAGTAAACGATGGCAATTGTTTGTCTCATGGAAAATTTCCTGGACTGTAACTTTTTACCTTCAGAGATATATTCTCTATAAATGGTAATTATTAGTAGTAAGTTATGAGAGTAAACAGTTTGAGTACTAGTGATCTATAGTAGCTTTTATTTAACACCAATACTTTTTCTTTGCAAAAAGAAGGGTCTACTGAAGATAGGTTGCTAACATTGAAATTAAAGTATTTTAAGTCATTGCAGTAAGGAATTACTGGAAATTGAGTAGACAAAGAAAATTAATATGAGTTCCATTTTAATGGTTACTTAGCAAGTTGAAGTTATGGGAGTCTTTGAAATACTTGCAGTAGAATGAAGTATGGAGAATTGTTCTACTGAACAGCAAAACAACCCAATCAGGTAATAATTTTGCCAGAGAGTGACTTGCTATAAGGGACAGAAGTTAGAGACTTAGATTCTTTCAAAATAAAAGATTTTTTTTTTATTGCTTGAAGAAAGATTTTTGGAATCAGCAAATCAACTGTTACTGTGAGAGATTTAAGTGGTTTTACTATTCATAACCATTTATCATGTGGCATTTACTGGAATGTGATTTCATAACCTCAAGTATTTG